GACTGACGAGGATCTCTTCTTGCGCTGCACAATGTAGCGGTCGTCCGTTAGTGTAGTTGTCCTTGGCCGGCCACCTCCTCGTCTTCGGGCAGCAGTACCAAAGGTTCGGAACGCTCTCCATGCACGTGATACAACGCTGTGAGCGATACCGAACTCCTGGGCTACACTCGTCATGGCTCGACCTTCTTCGAGCTTCCATATGATCCCCTCGAATGAAGTCACCCAGATGCTCTCTTCGGGACATGACGTATCAAAGGGTACTACTACAGTTCTTTGCAGCTACTTGTTGATTGAGACCAAATTTTTTTCAAACCCACAGACTGCCTCGATTTGCGCGGTCGACCATATTTGGCACTTTATTCAAGCTCTTCTTCCACCGAGAAAAGTCTAGCTTCCTGTGCATATCCCTTAGGCGAGTGGCAACATGCTCCCACACTTTCATTTACTTCCACCCAGTCATTAGTGTTTTATGTTACTTTATCCATCTCGTGTCTAAGTTTTGCACACCAGTGTAGTTGGCCTTATCCCGTCCTAAAAAGAAGTGTAATCTTCTTACTTCATATTCCAGATCTGCTTATGCAGAGAACGTTGTAGCTTATCTGTTAGTAGCCTAATTATGAGTAGAGAAGGTCTTACAAGTTGAATTCCCTTATTCATCAGGCGACGGTCCATAATATGTAGCGTTGGGGCGCACGCTGCCATGCACCGACGATCGCCGCTGCTGTCGCGAAGTATGAACGCCGCCTAAGTCCCTCGCATCACTCGGGTGACATTCGGTCTCAAAGTTTCCCCCTTCTTGTTGGGCGGAACCATCAAACACCACTCAAAGACGGCAATGGAAGAAAGCACACATGCAGACGAATTCCAGAACAACCTGTATGTGGATAACCTGATCCTTTCAGAGGAATCTGAACAAGAAATAACGGCAATATCGTTGGAAGCTCGGGAAATATCCAGCGACATGGGCATGGATTTACGCGAATTTCCTTCAAATAACAAGAACTTGCCCAATATTCTGCCAAGGGAAACTTACTAAAAATCTACCGTACAGAAGATATTGTGAATCACCTGGAATTCGACTGAAGACACACAAAGATTCCATGTAAAATAACCCACTCGCACATTGTCACCAAATGGCAGGTAGCCCGGCAAATAGCCCCCGCGCTCGGTCCACTAGGCTGGCTCGTTCCCTTACTGATTCCAGCAAAAAAGTTCCAGCAAGACTTGTGGAGAAAACATATCCAGTGGGACACGAATTTGCCATCAGATCTTCATAAAGAGGGGAACCTAATAACCCAAAATATGGCCGGATTTACAAAACCCGGCTGACGCGGGACGAGAGGGCTCTCACAAAAAAATATGGAACACCACGTATGGTGGATAATACCATCATTCTTGACTTCTCCCGTTGAAAACTGGTACAAAGTGGTTTATCCTTTGACAACAAGTAAAATTGCTTCAGAAGAGTTCACCTGTGGAGAGTGCACAGATAAAGCGGAGATACAGGATCTTCTGGGGAAAGACTGGGTCAGATCGCTCACTTCAGGAAAACGTGCAATAGCACTGGTCCTTCGCTTTATCAAAAAACTAATGCGTCCCTTGGGAAGGACCATTAAAAAGCGGGTATACGATCGCTAAGTTATGTGGAGGAAAAGTCTACGGGCCTGGAAGGAAAAGAAGTCCGTGCTGCAAGACGGGCAATCATCCGTAACCACCAGGCACCATATGTAACCAAAGCCTACAGGAAATCCATGGCAAACACCATACGGCTTTTCCAAGACGAAAACCAGCTCTGGGCTCTAGAGGACGTTTCGAAAACTCACACTTAAGAACGACGCTGAAAACCTTCTTTAGTTGCACCCAACACTATGCTGGCGAAGTTAGTTATAGAAGAAACTCACGGGAATTACCACCAAGGCATCGAACGTACAAAAGCCACGGTACGATAGCAGTAGTGGATCCCAAAATTACGCAAGCAGGTCCGGAAACTCATATTGCGTGAAATGTCGAAGATTCAATGCACTGCCACCACTATCCTGACATGATTGACCTACCAAGCCAAAAAGTTCGCAATGTCGACCATCCCAACATGAAGGCCTAGATTTCTTCGACCTCCCACCGTGCAAGGAAGACGATCATATGACAAAACTATATGGATGCATATTTACATGCACCGTAATCAGGTTGATCCATCTAGAAGTCGTATGTAGCATAGCAACGGAAGAGTTCTTGAATGCACTTCGAAGATTTGTGGCACGGAGGGGACTCCCGGAAACAATTATTTGCCATAACGCATCCAATTTGCGATTACTAAGTGCAAACATAGTGGGCAATCCAGATCATGCTCCACACGAAGATGTCTTTCGATGCATCACGAATAAGGGAATACAGTGGAAGCGTATTACCCCATATGCCCCATGGCAAGGGATATTCAATGAGCGTCTCATTAAATCCATAAAACACGCGCTATACAAATTCTTGAGGGGCACAAACCGGCGCCCTTTTGACAACAAGCAGACGCTGGTGGCAGAAGTGAAGGTGTGTTTGAGTTCTCGACCGCTCACATATCAGGGATCTACACAAGAAGCGCTGACCTCTATCCGCTCAATAGACTTGGTACATCATGATATGACACCGACTCTTTCTATGCCCGAGGATACCGCAACGGAGGAGAATGACTATTTGAATGAGCAACGACCCCTACAGTACCGACAACAAGTTCTAGAGGCGCTCCACTCATCGTGTCAGGAGGCAGAGCGTTTCTGGAATATTTGGCATCAGCAGTATTTGCTCTCCCTGCGAGAACACCATAAAAAAAAACAGGTCTCTAATCGCAGACAAGGTACGGAGAACCCAAACATGGGGACGTCGTCTTAGTCAGCGACCCGGTTCTACCAAGAAGTGAATGGAAAATGGGACGCATCAAGAACTCCGACGAGGACGCGATGGGGAAGTGCGCGAAGAGGAGCTTGTTTCGAGCACGCCAAGGAAAATTCGTCGCCCTAACAACTTATTGATCCCTCTCGAAATTCAAGATTGCAGAAAACGACAAACCACAGGCTGTCGAACCCCCTCAACACGACGATCAGCTTAAGCCGACAAAATGAGCCCATCCCTATAAC